ATCTCTGCACTCGTTTTTAAGTACTGTTCTTTGCCTATGTTTACGTAACTGTGTCTAGTTCATTTTGGCGTTCAAAAGTTGGAACCAATTTCAAGTCACTGAAGGTGACGTCACTTTTACAGTGAAACTGGAATTTTTATGGGTATTTTATAATCCATACTTCAATATACAATCTCTCTCTCTCTCTCTCTCTCTCTCTCTCTCTCTCTCTATATATATATATATATATATATATATATATATATATCCTTACTAATTATTCACACAAAAACTAATGCAATAGATGCTGTTTTAAATTTTCTTAGTAATAAGAGGACAACGAAAAATATATGTATTGTTGTATTACTAAGAGAAAAACAAGAACAACATCTATTCTATACCGAAGAGAGTTCTTATTTTAGACGAAAGCTTGTAGTAAAATAAGAACTAATACGGCAGAAATTTATATAAACAAGGATCATTTCATTCATAACGGATACGGAGGTTTTTGTATATTATTTGAATTGTTTGCGATGATGGATGTCTCGCCATTTAAATCATTAACCTTTGCATTTGTTTTTGTGTGAATAATTCATGTATTTGTAAATTGATTGCACGTTTATCGTAATATATATATATATATATATTTATATATATATACAGTACGAGGCAAAAAATGGTGGCACCCATAGAAAGTCGATTTTTTGTCAGGACTCTGACTAGACCACTGGAAGAGTTGCAATTTACCCTTTAGATAATGTTTACTCTTTAAGACAGCATGTTTAGGATCGTTATCGTGTCGGAACGTGAAGCGGTGACCTTGGTCAAAAGATTTTAGCAGAAAAGCACATTTAGTTAACAAGAATTTTGTGGTATTGATGCTGGTCCATGATTTCCTTGATTTTGTACAAATTATCAATTCCTTCTTCTGAGAATGCACCCGTAAACATTGATTTTTTTATCGTGTTTAACAGTGCCCTAGTCAACGTTCGGACCTTAACACAATTGAAAACCTTTGGGTAATAATGGACACGCGTGCTCGTAATAGAGAGAGTTAACAAAGAAGATGAGATTTTTCGTGAATTAAAGGAACACTGGAAAAATCTGGTGAAAGACATTGGTTTACTAAAGAATTTAGTCTATAGCATGGCACGAAGAATTAAGGCCGTTATTACAGCAAAAGGTTACCCAACAAAATACTAAATCATTTTTGACTTCTATTACTCACTTCTCTTGGTAAAAATACAAAAATTATCTTTCTATGGGTGCGTCTATTTTTTGCCACATACTATATATATATATATATATATATATATATATATATATATATCATCATCTTGACTTTTTGTAATATAGAAACTGTACTAATTTTCCTCCACAACGGTCTATCAACGACAGCCATTAGCAATTCTGGTAGCGTCATACCTGTCCATTGTTCAACCAGTTTTTACGTTAGTGTCCTCTCCTACGCCCACCTTCAACGATTGTCTTGCATATGCTGTAGTGTCTTGTTACCACGCCATTTTTTTTTCGTTTGATAGTGTCGAGAAGAGTTTCCTGGTGACTCACAAAACTTTCAACGCTATTTCGCCCAAACACATTGGTTTTATGTTCCCAATAGAAGATGCCAAGGAGTTATATATATTTAGAAAAACAGTACGAAAAATTGTAAAAAAAATTGTGTTGTATTTCATCCGACTGAGATTTGTTGATGATGCCACGTCTACACATGCGCACGAAACGAGAGACACTGGTAGTTTCAAAATGTTTGAAAGCATAATTTTTTCAATTTTGCCAAATTCATCTGTATTCTTTATATATATATATATATATATATATATATATATATCTCGTTTGGAAAAAACTTAGGTATTTTGGCTTCTAATTCAACATACCAATGCCCAAGGGAAAATAAGGGATAAAAAAAAGACCATGAAATTGAGGCGAAAACAATCGTCCAGAATTCAAGCTCACAGTCCAAAGAAAAAAACCTCCAAAACGAGTAAACAAAGTAATGGTTTACCTGGCTCTTTAGGTTCATATATGTATGTGTGTGTGTGTGTGTGTGTGTGTGTATACTGCCGCACCATTATTTATTTCTTCAAAGATTTTGAATTGAAATGTTCACTTTTATAAAACCATCATCAGTCATATGATCAGGTTGTCATATGTTTTCGTTTCTTTGCCACTGTCCGAATCTCTGTGAAGGATCTTCCAGTTAACTCAGTGACCTTGTCGGACTATTTTTTCATCTGTTTGCCTCATCTTTTATCTAAGATGATGCTTTGTAAGATGCCCGGGAAAAGATTGCTGGCGCTTGTGAATTGGCCATAACTTTTCAACGTTATGATACTAGTTATAAACTCTACCAATGGAATGGTTTCTTGGCTAATTTTGCAGCCTACGCAGGAGATGCCTAATAACATCTCATTTCAATGTAAAAAAAAAATAAAAAAATAAAAACCAAAAATATTTATTCATATAGTTATTTCTTAAATACTGAAATTAAAATTCTAAGAAAAATGCGATAATCATTAAATTAAGATAATTTTATGAAGATTAGTACATTTAATCGTTATCTTGTGTCTTTGCTTATTTTTTCTAATCAACAATAGCTAAACGTAATCATCTGAAACATTTTATTTCTAACTTTTTTGGAAATAATTTTTTTAAAACCTCTATTGATATTAGTATTTGAATTTTTATTCAAAACAGTATTTGACATTTTTTAGAATTTTAAATTTAACGAGAAATTCAATATGGATTTCCGTAGATAAAAAGAAAAAAAATAAGAGGCACGCAAGAAACATTTAAAATCATTAAAAAATATTCTGTAAAAAAACAAAAAAAAAAAAACTTCTCATTATTGTATATTTTTCAATAAGAGATATTCGATTTTTAATGACAAATCCCAATAGTGTAAGATAAAAATGAACTTTAAATATATCAATAATTATTTAATTTTATTATTTTTCTCCTTTCTCTTTCGTACTGATTAAGGAGCATCGTGGAATGCATGACCCCATTTCAAAGACACCCTTCAACACTGAGACATATCTATCTATTATATATACTCGAGTATCGTGCAATTTTTTATTATTAGTTTTTTTTAATGCAAAAACAGAGTCACAGGTAATCTTTTTGAAGAGGTTAAAAATAATGCATTTTCGATGACCGGCTGCACTATACACAGGTAAATATTTTTCTGGGGCGGTTAAAATACATGCATAAACATTCAGGAGTCGTACTGTCCATGACGTTGGCTTATCTATCTATAATGGAAATAGTGGTGTCCTTTTAAATGATGTTTTTTTCTCATCGTAAGTGATTGGGCGGCCATTAATTTTGATGTTATCCTAACCTGTCTGAATTTTCTGGATGAAGATTATTTAAATAATTACCATACGAACTATTGGGCTAATCTTTGTAGTTATTATCACACTATTTCGGCTGTGGGGACAACAACAATAACAACATAGGTGAGGACAATAGTCTGTATATAAATAATGTAAATAATAATCCAGTTGGCTCAAAAAGTTAGGGTCCTTTTCATAGTTTATCAAGAAAAAAAAGAAAGAAAAAAAAGACTCTTAAATTCCCTCAACGCACTTTTCAAAGCAGTAACGTGAAAACGTTACAAATGCAATAACGTGAAAACACTACAAATGCAGTAACGCAAAAGCGCTACAAATGCAGTAATGTGAAAGCGCTACAAATGCAGTAACGTGAAAACGCTACCAATGCAATAACTTGAAAATGCTACAAATGCAATAACGTGAAAACGCTGCAAATATAGTAACGTGAAAACGCTACAAATGCAATAACGTGAAAACGCTACAAATGCAATAACATGAAAGCGCTATAAATGCAGTAACGTGAAATATCTTTATTAGAATTTTCATTCAGTCCGCCTTCCTCCCGTCCTTAAGCATAGTTCAACCTGGCACAGGGATACATTAGTTGAGCACTCATTGTCATTCAAACACTCTACATTAACGAATTAAGGACATATCAGGAAGTGACAGCTGAAATTTCTAGGGCACATAATAAGGAAAAAAGACTTGGAAAATATGATACTCACAGGGCAGATTGAAGGCAGGAGTGATAGCCAAAAGGAACGCATGACTTTACTAGCGAGTTGAAGGAAAGGGATAGTGAAACAAGACTTTGGAGAGATAGCAAAAAGACAAGAAAGTACTAAGAGCTCCAAAGAAGGAAATTGTGGAGAACCATGATCGCCAACAAGGACACAGCACATAGAAGAAGACACTTTTGCTAGTAGTAGCAGGCGCCTGTATTCGAACTCTTATAAAAATATGCTCGATGTGTTGGAATAAATCTTAATATCAGTTGGAAAAAGCTTTTTTTTTTACTTGCCAATCAGGCAGCATAATTTTGAATTGGGAATAAAACGGTTGTCTCTTTTTGACCAACCGGATGCAACCATTTTGGCGCCAATAATTACATAAGAGATGGCCGGTTACTTAGTAGATTTATTCGCTTCTTTGCAAGATGCCATTAAAATACTTCTCTTGCGACTGAATCACCTTTTGCCATTCATCATGCCTTGTCTTTGCTTAGATTTATTGACTGTTGACCATTTTCTCGCTTTCATGGCTTTTCCAGTTGTTTGTATTCCGCCTCCCCTCCCGTCAACAATCTGTCTGATCCATGGTACACATTGTTCGCTATTTAAGGACATAGCAGCTGACTATTTTAAAGAAGAAAATCGATTGATTTTTTTTCTAAGATGAATGGCGAAATGATAGTCAAGTCGTGTGAAGATAAAACGCCTTTATATACAACAAGAGAAAACCTTTGTTCAATATGGAAGATGGTGGCTGATAAATTAGTTTTCCTGCCAGAACTTTGCGATTTTAGAGAAATTCTGTTTTATTGGCAATCCTATTTTTTTTGTTAAAGTTGAGATGATGAATCTGAAGACAAATTGAAGGCAAACAAATAAAATGGTTTTCTTTATGGCTTCTTTTTCCTTAAACGCCAGCAATTCAGAAATAGCTTTAATTCCATGTTGAATGAATGTATTTCTGCAAAACATGGAAGATTTTTCCAATAGAAAAAGAAGAAAAGGAAGAAGATGAATAAGGAGAGGAAGAAGAGAAGACAAATAGTAAGAAAAGAGGGGAACGAAAAGATGAGAAAGAAAAGAGAAAGAAAAGAGGAAAAAGAAAAGAGGAGAAAGAAAAGAAGAAAAAGAAAAGAGGAGAAAGAAAAGAGGAAGAAAGAAAAGAGGAAGAAAGAAAAGAGGAGAAAGAAAAGAGGAAGAAAGAAAAGAGGAAGAAAAGAGGAGAAAGAAAAGAGGAGAAAGAAAAGAGAAAGAAAAGAGGAAAAAGAAAAGGAAAGAAAAAGAAAAGAAAAAGAAAAGGAGAAAGAAAAGGGGAGAAGGAAAAGAGGAGAAAGAAAAGAAAAGAAAAAAGAGAAAGAAAAGGAGAAAGAAAAGGGGAGAAGAAAAAGAGGAGAAAGAAAAGAAAAGAAAAAGAAAAGAGAAAGAAAAGGGGAGAAGGAAAAGAGGAGAAAGAAAAGAGAAAGAAAAGAGGAAAAAGAAAAGAAAAGAAAAAGAAAAAAGAAAAGAGAAAGAAGAGGAGAAAGAAAAGAGGAGAAAGAAAAGAAAAGAAAAGAAAAAGAGAAAGAAAAGAGGAAAAGAAAAGAAAAAGAAAAGAGAAAGAAAAGAGGAAAAGAAAAGAGAAAGAAAAAGAAAAGAAAAAGAAAAGAGAAGGAAAAGAGGAAAAAGGAAAGAAAAAGAAAAGGGGAGAAAGAAAAGGGGAGAAAGAAGAGAGAAAGAAGAAAGAAAAAAGAAGCGGAAGACAAAATGAAAAAAAAAAGAATACGTAAAAACACGAAGGAAAAGTACAAACGAGAGATAGTAAAGAAAAAACTAGCCGAAGACGAGAAAAATGAAAAAAGATGAAAAATGAGAGACGATTAACAAAGAAAAAAGATGAAAAATAAACAAAAAAGAAAGAAACAAATGAAGAATAGAAAGAGAAAAAGAGTACAATAAAGAGGAACCGAAGAAAAGAGAAGGTCAACAAAAAGAAAGAAATTTAATACTGTATTTTGATGTTTACAACGGTTTACACAGAAAACATTATACACAATGTAGTTTTTCACAGTTGACAATTCGGTTGGAATGTTTTCTTCCCCCCTAATCACCAATTCATTTGTAATTTAAATGTACAGACTTTGTTTTGTTTTGAATCATAAAGTCCACATTGTTTTCCACTATATGTTTCTCATTCAAATTCAGACGTTCACACATTTCAGCAAAGCCCATCCTATTTTCATTTAAAATGTTTACATGTTATAAACAAATTCTGCTGAGCATATTGAAAAATATGGCGTTTAAAGTTCAGATTTAGAAGTAAGATTATATCAACTTATTAAATAAATAAATAATCTTCGTTTGTGTTTGGTGTAATGCTTATCTTAAACGTTTTTTTTTTTTTGATGACGTCTCTTTCTGTAACTTCTTTTACTTAAGAAACGAGAAACGAAACGATATTTCCCAGAAACACTGGCACGGTAAACAAATGCAATTATCAAGAAAAAGTTTATGAAACTCTCACAAAAATAATCAAATATCGAGAAACATTATTATTCATTACAATGATCTCATCATTTGAAATCTAATAGAGCGAAGATGAGGCAACACTTCAAATATAAAAATTGCCTTTCACTTGCTTATCCAACAGGATAATCACATTTTTTATTGTTTGATAAAAAAGTGTTGCTGATGGGTAGAGTTTAGAAAATAATCAGTATGAATATACTTTTTAAGTGGCGGATGGTGCAATCGAATAACAAAAGATGACTTTCAAAAGAGCGAGCCAAGTACAGAGAATCATCGGTTCTCGAACCTCTCACATGTCGAACAAATCGGTTTTCGAACGTAAAGTTCGAGATGAAAAAACCTCGGTTCTCCAACAACACTGCCGAACCGAGCCGAGCCGAACCGAGTTAACCCGAATGGAATCATTTCTTAGTCGACCGCCATCTTGTATACGTTCGTGTGTTGTGCTGTGCTTTTTTTCCAATTTTATTGTACTGTACCTTTTTTTCTCTTCATTAGTCCTCAGTCATAGCTCCAAAGAGAGCTAGCAGTCATACTGGTAAAGGAAAAAGAAAAGTTAAGAGAAAAACAATTGATGATATCGTCTCTATGATCATGATATTGTCTCTTCCTATTCAGTTTCATATGGCAAAATCAACGATCTATACTATTCTTAGAAATAAAGAGACGATCATGTCTTTCCTTTCCCTTTTCCAAACAATAACATCTTTTTCCTTCCCCTTTCACTTACGCCATCAATTCTCCTACTTACAGGTATGGTAAAATTAAAATGTTCGTCTATATTTTATTTGTTTAGTATTGGGTTTATTTGTTTTTTTTTCTTAGATTTAATGATTTTCATAAGTTTTTTGTATAAACTGGTGCACAAAGTACTGTTAAAGTTTAAATAAGCAATCATCTTGGGACCAGGAACGGATTAATCCATTTCACATTGATTCCTATTGGAAAAATAGTTTCGGGTTACGAACAGGTTTCAGGAACGAATTAAATTCGTGAACCGAGGTTCCACTGTATTAAAAAACAGTAAAATTTTGTTAAAGAAAACAGTGCTGAACTGTTATGTAAAATTGGTCCACCTATATGTTGGTGAAGGCTGGACAATTTCCTCACAGATGAGGAGAAAGGAGGCAACAGGAATATGGTTCTACAGAAGGTTGCTGAGAATCAAGGGAAGTCAGTGGAGTGCAGTTCAATGTAAACGGTATTTGGAAGCGGTTCGTTAGACAAGTGCCAGGGGATCCCGCCTTCCGCCTGTGTCCACTGGCCCTATGATCGTTAAGACATGTTCACTTCCTGCTGTATGTCACGTGATCGTCTTTCGTGTAATCGAACCCAAATGCAGTCGTTAGCGAGGTCGGTCACGTGATTGCACTGCGGAGTAAAGGTGAAAAAGAAATAGAACATGTTGTTAATTTAATTTGGATGTTCGGTTAGAGAACATCACAGAGAGAGAGAGAGAGAGAGAGAGAGAGAGAAAGAGAAAGGCGCAGATAGATAGGCGTAGAGAGAGAGAGGTGAAGAGAGAGAGAGAGGCGCAAAGATAGAGAGAGGGTGAGAAGCGCAGAGAGAGAGAGAAGCGCAGAGAGAGAGAAGCGCAGAGAGAGAGAGAGAGAGAGAGAGAGAAGCGCAGAGAGAGAGAGAAGCGCAGAGAGAGAGAGAGAGAGTGAGTGGCAGAGAGTGAGTGGCAGAGAGAGAGAGAGAGTGAGGGGCAAAGAGAGGTTGAGTGGCAGAGAGAGGGAGAGTGAGGGGCAAAGAGAGATTGAGTGGCAGAGAGAGAGAGAGTGAGGGGCAGATTGATAGAGAGAGAGAGAGAGAGAGAGAGAGAGAGAGAGTAACATGTCAGCAACGAAAAAGTTTTAAGGAGTATGGAAGTAAAAAAGAATCAGAAATAGACAATTGACATTTCCAGGGCAGATAATGGCGAAAGAGGCTTTGAAGAATTCAACCTTCAAAATAATCCATCTAATAACCTACTGAACGAACTTCTGTACATGGTTGGCAGAACAGTGATTAGGAGTGATAGCAGAAGACAAACATTACTAAGAGCTACAACAGACAGGAGGTTGTGGAGAGCAATAATCGTCCATCATATAGAAACACAACACAAGAAATAAAGGACAAGAGGAGGAAGGAGATCAAGAAGAAGAGGATGTTCTCAGCATCCTTCTGTAGAACCAAATGTCTGTTGCTTGACGTTTCTCCTTGATTTGTGAGGAGATTGCCCAGCATTCACTGTCATATTGAAAGACTGATGCTACATAATTCATTACTCTTTTCTTAGTTTCTAACGATATTTTCTGTTTCATAATATTTTCCTAAGGTTTAAAAAATACCTTCATTAGAAAGCGTGACGTCACTATAATATCAAATTCTATCTTTCTGACCATCGCTGTTTGGCAGGTGTCAATTTATTTTATAAGATTAGCTGAGTCTTGCAAAGTTTTACACTGATAGCATAAGCAGTGACGACAGAATATACGCGACTTGTGAATGATTTACGGGACTTACTTACTAGGTATTGCTCTGTAGCAGATGCCGTAATATCGCGCAAATATATAAATATTAATTATTTCACGACCAGCTGTTTTTCTCCATATTTGCGCGAATTGAAATGTCGGAGAAAAGCCAAATTGTTATTAAATAATTATATATTTATGATTAGAGATAACGAAATATATTACCAGGGGAAGTCAGTGGAGTGCAGTACAATGGAAACAGTAATTGGAAATGGTTCGTTAGACAAGTGCCAGAGAATCCCGCCTTCCGCCCGTGTCCACTGGCCCTATGATCGTTAAGACATGTTCACTTCCTGCTGTATGTCACGTGATCGTCTTTCGTGTAATCGAATCCAAATGGAGTCGTTAGCGAGGTCGGTCACGTGATTGCACTGCGGAGTAAAGGTGAAAAAGAAATAGATCATGTTGTTAATTTAATTTGGATGTTCGGTTAGAGAACATCGCAGAGAGAGAGGGAGGGAGAGAGAAAGAGAGAGAGAGGGAAAGAAGCGCAGAGAGAGAGAAAGAGAGAGTAAGAGAGAGAAGCACATAGAGAGAGACAAGTGAAGAGAGAGAGTGAGAAGCGCAGAGAGAGATAGAGTGAGTGAGAAGCGCTGAGAGAGAGAAAGAGAGAGTAAGAGAGAGAAGCACATAGAGAGAGACAAGTGAAGAGAGAGAGAGTGAGAAGCGCAGAGAGAGATAGAGTGAGTGAGAAGCGCTGAGAGACAGAGAGAGAGAATGAGAAGCTCGGAGAGAGTGAGTGAGAAGCAGAGAGAGAGTGAGCAGTAGCAGAGAGAATGAGCAGTAAAGAGAGAGAGAGTGCAGCAGAGAGAGAGAGTGCAGCAGAGAGAGAGAGTGAGTAGAGAGAGAGTGAGCAGCAGAGAGAGAAACACAGAGGGAGAGAGACACAGAGAGAAAGAGAGAAACACAGAGAGAGAAAAACACAAAGAAAGAGAGAAGGAAAGAGCGTGAAGGAGAGAGATAAGGGGAGAGAGAGAGAAGGAGAGAGAAAAAGGAAATAGAGAGAAAAAGGAAAGAGAGAGAGAGAGAGAGAGAGAGAGAGAAAGAGTAGCGGGGAAATTAATATAGAAAAAAGGCGGGAAAGTGAGGAGAGAGAAGTAACGGAAAAAATTAGAAAAGAAAGAAAGAAAGAAAGAAGTCAACTGAAGAGGAGGAAAGCAAAAAGACAAAACCGAAAGAAGTAAAAGATGAAGAAGAGAGAAAGGAGTCATGGAAGTCCGATAGATTAAAAAATAGAATAGAGAGAAGGAGTAGAAGAAAGATGAAAGAGAAAAAGAAACTCTAGAAGATATATATATATATATATATATATATATATATATATATATATATATATATATATATATATATATATATATATATATATATATATATATATATATATATATATATATATATATAGAGAGAGAGAGAGAGAGAGAGTGTGTGTAAACTGAGAAAAAGAATGGTGACAAAGAAAAGAGAGAAAAGAATCAAAGACGAAAAAAGAATAACAAGACAGAAAGCAAGGAAAGAGAACAATGAAAGAAGTCGAGAGAGGAGAGAAACAGACACAAAAGAAAGAAAGAAAGAAAGAAAGAAAGAAAGAAAGAAGAGAGAGAGAGAGTAGGGAAAAGTGATGTAAAAATAACAAAATAAGACAAAAAACAATGGCGATATTCCTACCAAGACGAGTATTTGGAGATTTATAGATGAAGAATAAGACCTTTCTGAAGAGAGAGATCATCTTGGAGAGAAACAGACTATATTAAAGCAAGAAATATAGAATGGTGTATTTGAAGGATTATATTTTTTCACTCGTCCTTCATCAAAACATTTTAGTAAAATTCTTTTGGGTATAGGCACTTAGATTTCATTAGCACCATTTACCATCGCAGATGCAAATCAGATTTTGAAGAAGGAAAATAATAGAAGCAGACGAGAGTCATTCTATTTGTAAATCTATTCATTGGAAAATGTAGATTGAAGCGTTTAAGTCGACATCATTAGAACATTATTCTGGGTGCCAATCGGCAAAGGCAGTGCACGCTATGGCACTAAAAGACATTCAAAATAAATTTATTCCATGTTCTTGCAGATCGTCGGAATACCATACCATAAATCTCTGGGCGAAAATAGTCATTTTCATTTAGTATATAACCAATAGAATTTTATAATTGCTATAAAACATTAAAATTAAAAAAAAATAGGAAAGAATAGTTCCCGTGAAAAGATAAGACATAAAACAAAAAATTGTGAAAAAAAAAAAAAAAAACCAAAGAGGGAAGACAACAAAAAGGAAAAACAAGGAGAGAAAACAACAAAGAGAGAAAACGTTGCTAGCCACTCACTTCTCCATATAAAATGTTCAGAGGAATTACATTTCTTAGCTCAGGCCTACATAGATAGTACCTGTCATGCCAGGGTCAAATAATCGTCATTCGCTATTCCATTTGTAAGGAAGAAGTTCTACTCTACCATCTTTTACTTTGTGGAAAGGATGTTTCCGCGATAATCACGATCGTAACCTCTTCAACTCTAAAGTCAACCTTTATCTATCCTGCATATCCTCATAATCTGCACTTCTTACGCTTAGAGAATAACGTCATTCAATAACCATCTAACTTAGGTGGCTCTTGGGCCTTGTATTAGGTAAAAAATAGTATAAAAACACCGCAAAATCAAAAGCTTAATCGGTGTTAAATCCTCTCTCGCCGGTTGATAATAGATCAAAACATTGGATTCTGGCCAATTAATTGCCTAATACAAGGATTTGGCTTAAGAATCGGGGAGAAGTTGGAATTTTTCTTAATATACAATAAATTGGGGGTAATAAAACAGAGGATTAGGAAAATCATTTAAATGTTAAAAATGTGAAATTAATAAACGGAGTGGTTTTAATAAGCTCGGAGAGTCAGAAAATGTCCTCAAAAGTAAACGTCTCCTATTAGAATCCTAAGAGTATATGTCCTCAAGCGGATAAAGGCGTTGGTTAGATCCAGTGACAGGACCCAAAGAGTGTGAGTTCAATATCCGGCTAAGGCGGTGGAGAACTTTCAGAGGGAAATTAACAGGAGATGACTGATAACTGACATCCCTTAAGCATGGCACGTGGAACTAGAACAGTCTAGCTCAGAGAGCGAAATAAAGGGTTCAGTTCGACAGTCTAACCACCTGAAGAAGGCCGGAGCGTACAATGGCCGAAACGTTGTAATAAATATGGCCACAAAGATGGCGACAATAGTTATCTCGGAAATATAGAGTAGGTAGAGGTAGAGTTTTTATGAAAGGGGACTAAAAACCGGTCAAACCTTTCTTTTTCGATTTACTTATTTGCGTTAACTTTAAAATTGTTTTATTTTATTTACATTATTCGGACTATTATCCTAATCTTTGTTGCCTTATTTCAGTCTACCCCAACGAGAGAAATAAAGGGTTCAGTTCGACATTCCAACCACCTGAAGAAGTCCGGAGCGTATATGTTTCGTTGTTTAGTCCTAATATGTTCTTCTTTATTACAATTATTAAATTCTGTACCCATTTTAAAATATTTGAATTGAATTTGATTAGTTTTTGTTTTAAATTTATAGCCAATCTAAACTGATATCAATTGAATAATTAACGAAGGATTTTCTATCTACATATTGATTGAAAAGTAACCCCTTATTTTATGTATGAGTGGCCAGCCAAGAATTCTGATTTAACATCCTGTGACTTTTTTCTTTGGGGTTGGTAAAAGGAGCAAGTCTACTATCCCAAACTAAGACTTTGGAAGAATTTAACGGGTGAATATAAGAAGTTATGTCTTCCATACCACAAGAATTCCTGTCGAAATCAGTTGACGCCATTCCTGGGCGACTCGAGAAACTGGTAGCGAAATCAGGTGCCCATATCGAATTTTAACAAAAATTCATGTTAAAAGCTATCCTCTCATATCCATTTCTTAAATTATTGTTAATAAATAAATTACAAATATTTTAAAATGGGCAATTACTTTTCAGTCACCCTGTAGAATAGATTTTCTCAAAGATTACAACGCTTTTTTTTTGTTCACTATTGCATTTGTTAAGGCTAGTTGATTGTAACAAGTTTTTTTTTTCTATTTCATTCATCTCAGTCCAATTCAGACACTGGAATCCATTGATTTAACAAATGCGTAGACAATTGATCAATTACGCTATTGGTATAAATTAATAAGATTCGCATACCAACAACATTTTTTCAAGCTATTAAGAAGTGAGAAAAAGAAATGCTACGGACAGTTCATTGAAGAGCTGGGTTATTTTAAATTGCAATTTGATGAGATGATTATTTTGGCCTGGCGACAAATTGACCAGACAGGCTCGTAGTTGAGATCACGCGATTGTTATGTTGACAATCTGGTCGTCTGCGTATTTGATCTACCATTAAAAGTCATCATTCATCGACGATTATCACCTTTTTCCGGATTCTATTTTCGGGCACGAAATACGTTTACACATCAGCAAATTACACGTCCACCGATTCTAAACTGATTGTTCACGAGTATGGTTTATATTTACGTTGATTTTGAACCAAAGATTTCCAAATATTTGACGATTTCGTAAGCTTGACAATTTCGACACTCTTTCTGTTATGTCTTTACATTGCAAAAGCCATTTTCATACAGTTGAAACAAAGCAATGTTGTTGAGATTTGAGATTAATTGTAATGACAGAAGTACGCAGGGGTAGGCTTTAAGAAAGCTTTATTCAAATGAGAGTACAAGATTCGCTTATAGTGTCCTTTTATAGTCCTAGTAAACAGAAATAGATCTCTCAAAGAGGAGACTGACAAAAAAGGGGAGGAAAATCTTGATTATTCATAACAAGGAGATCAGCAACAAGATGTTGGGTGTGATATATATTTAAAAAATGCATTGAGTTCAGAAATATTATAATATAAAATTTCCAATGAAAGGTGTTCTGTTTGTATTGAAAATATTACTGTGTAATAGTTTTGGGAAATCTTTTGATGAGACAGGTGAACTTTTTTGTAGGTTTGGTTTGGTTTGGTTTGGTTTAGTTTGGTTTGGTTTGGTTTGGTTTGGTTTAGTTTAGTTTGGTTTGGTTTGGTTTGGTTTGGTTTGGTTTGGTTTAGTTTAGTTTGGTTTGGTTTGGTTTAGTTTGGTTTGGTTTGGTTTTTGTTTTACAGCATATCGACCTCAATGGCTTATTTAACGCCTACAAAATTTTTATTGCTGGTAATAGGTTTTTCATCAAAAATCGATTTCTAGGAATATTTTTCCTTGAAGAAATCTATAGCTGTTCATATTTTTTTCAAAGAATGTATAAATGTTTGTATTGCTGGTATTTTTTTTAAGTACTGCTGATAATAATTTTCCTTTCAAAAATTATTGCTGGTAATAATTTTTTTTTATTACGAAGCTGGGACCCTAACAGGTGCTACTACCTCGGGTCAGGGTGGACCTGGGAACACCAGCAATTAGTTCCACGCTCCTCAAAATCTCCTGATCAGAGGCCTTGCTGTTGGACGTAGTTTATCGTCTTACTCAGGACGCAAATGTGGTTTATCGTCTTACCCAGGACGCAGATGTAGTCTATCGTCATACCCAGGACGACTTTTTTGTAGGTGAAGAGACAAAGATTAAATTGGAAATTAAATCTGAGGAGAAAGGAAGATAATTTAAATATTTTCATTTATTTGTTTTATTTTTTCTTGCCACAAATTCCTTTACTAGATGTTCAGATTTGTCAAATTTAATATTAAGTAAAAAAAAATACTCCTCATTCAAAACAATTGATGAAGTGCGTAATGAAAAAAGTATACAGGTGTAGGCTTTAAGAAAGCTTTATTCAACTGAGAATAAAAGGTCCGTGTATAGTGTCCTTTTATAGTCCCAGTAAACAGAAATAGCTCTCTCAAAGAGGAGAGTAACTAAACAAGGGGAGACCACTCTTGATTATTGATGACATAAGTGCAGTTATTCTTTCAATGTAAGCAAGCATTTGACTTATAGGAAGACAATGATAAAAATTAAATAATACGCAATGTTAAATATATTAGCATTAGAGCTGAGAAGCTCAGCATTCAAGGCTCAAACTGTTCAGCTCGGGAATCAAGATGAACTACAGTTAGCGAGATATCAAGATGGAGGAATTCTGTCTCCATGAAGCCCTTACTTTGAACGTCTGTTGGGACTCAAGTTCACTCCAAATTTCAAGTAGAACCCACAGATATGATCCATTGCTAATGATGATGGAAAAATTGCGGCCTCGTGAGTGTTGACATGTTTTCCACCCTAAAGCTCCTTTTCCATAGACGAAGCGTCATAAATGGTTAATTTGATGGAAAAATTCTATTCAAAACTTTTAAGGCTAAGACTTTCCATGTTACGTCTACAAAGTCAAATCACTCTCACTCTCACTCCCTCTGTATTCTGGGCACTTCGACATGATGTAATGGTTAGCAAGCTTGTCTCGCGACATCAGTTACGACTGTATAGCGAGTTCGATCCTCACTGGGTGGTGCATACTTTCGGCCATGTGCCTTATCTAAGCTACGCTTAGAAAAATCGCCATTCCCTCTGTATTCCATTTGCAAGGAAGAAGTTTCACTCAGATTGCTTCTTCCCAAGAATCGATACTTTGTGAAACATTCTCCCATGTGGATGCTTCTACTAATATTGACGTAAATATCTTCATAATTTTCGCTTCCTACTTCCTCTTTCTAAGATTATCAGTGTAATGGATAGCGACTTGTAATGAA